GAGCAAGGGGAAGGGGAAGTCAAGATCATTCAGGGAAACCCACAGAAACAGTTGACCCCAACTTGTAGGAGGTTATAGACTCTAGACCAACAGCTAAGAAACCTGCATGGGACCAAACCAGGCCCTCTGCATGTGGGGCACAGTTTTGTAGCCTGGTCAGTTTGTGGGACTCCTGGTAGTGGGACCAGGATCTATCCCTACTGCATGAACTGGCTTTTTGAAGCCTATTCCATATGGTGGGATGCCTTGCTCAGTCTTGATGTGGCGGGGTGGGGAGGGGTTTGTCCTGCCTCAACTGAATGTGCCAGGCTTTAATGACTTCCCTTTCTGAGGAGTGGATGCGGGTGATTTGGGGGTGGGGGAGATATGGGAGGAGGAGGAGAAGAGGAGGGAGGGGGAAATGTAGTTGGTATGTAAAATGAATTAAAAAAAAAATGAAAAACAAGCTGACTGGTGAATTGATGAACAGGATATAGTTAGGTGTGAAAGCCAAACTGAGAATGATAGGATGAGGAAAGGCAAAGTCAGGGAAGTCACCAGGCAAGTACAGAGGGAACAAGAGATGAATGTGCCATGCTAACAAATGTACAGCCACGTGGCAGAGTGTAAATAAGGAATATGGGGCTAATTTAAGTGTAAGAGTTAGCTAGTAATAAGCCTGAGCTATCAGCCAAGCATATTCAGTCTCTGAGCCGGTTATTTGGTTATTTGAGACTGGGCAGAAGGGACAGGAAACATCTGTTTACAACTAACAAGTATGGGCCTGTCCCTAAGTAGTGACAAAAGCTTTTTTTTTTTTTTTTTTTTTTTTTTTTTTATGATCCTGGTTGCCGTCTGGAAACCTACTAGAAATCCTGAAAGCACTACTGCATCTAGCCTTCTCTTTAGTCTGTCCCCATTTCTTTTAACGAATTCTAAGTCCTTTCTGCATCTCTACCACCTCCCAAATTCAAGAGCTCCTGCCTTCACATGGGGGGCTCTGTAGCCAAACTGTCTAAGGTGTCCCTTGTAAATCCATTGTCCACTGTAATGGAACCATGCAATCTGCATTGTTGTCAGTTGTCTTACTAAAATATGAAGTAAATCACATTATTCCTCTTTTCCCACTCTGTTTCAATTTTATTGAAAATAGATTTTTTTTTAATGCAATATATTCTGGTTACTATTTCCCTTCCCTAACTCCTCTGAGATTCTCTCCAAATCCCCTTTCGATAACCCACACCCTTTCTGTCTCTCATTAAAAAACAAACAGGCATCTAAAGAATAATATTAAAATAAAACAAAACAAACAAAAGATCCACAGGGTGGGGGAAATATAAGAAACACATATAGTCAGAGAAACAAAGACACACACACATTCACACAGTTACACCCAGGAAACCCATAAAAACACAAAGCTGAAAACCATTAGTATATACAAAAATGATCTTTAATGTGGATTTATTTATTTATTTTAAGAAGCAAGAGGCAAACTTATTTGTGTTGGCCATCTACTACTGGGTATGAGGCCTGCTCTTTAGAGTGGTTTGTATTCTCAGTGAGAATCAGTGGAGAGAACTAACTTTTCATTTGAGTGGTTACCAATTGGAGATAGCTTCTGGGTTAAGGATAGGATTTTGTGTCTACTTCTTTCAGTGATAGACAGATCCTATCTGGTGCATATCTGTTCAGGCCCTGTGCATACTGCCACATATCTGTGTGTCCAGAAGGCCTCGTTTCCTTCGTGTTCTCCATCCTCTCTGGCTCTTATAATCTTCTCTTCCACAGGGTCCCCTGAGTCCTGAGAGGAGGGATTTGATGGAGACATCCCATTTATGACTGAGTGTTCCAAGGTCTCTCCATGTGTGCACATTGTCCAACTGTGGATCTCTGTATTTGTTCCCATATACTGCAAGAGGAAATCTCTGATGATGGCTTGAGCAAGTCACTGATCTATGAGTGTGGCAGGATGTCATTACAGTCATTTTATTGGTTTGCTCCCTTAGCAGAGCAGCAGTATTTGATTTTTCCCTAAGTCCCTAGTTTTTCTAGTGTCAGGTTCTTGGCCACCCAATCGGGGTTGGTGATGGGTTCCACCTCATGGTGTGGGCCTTAAATCCAGTCAGATATTGGCTACTCCCACCTGACATTCCTCTCTTTAAACGCCTAAATCTTAACAAGCCAAAAGTTCAGCACTGCCCAACTTACCTTTCTGAACCCCCTAGGTATTAACCATCCATTGCTACTCAGTGCCCAGAGCTTCCTTCCTGCTTCTCTGAGGAAACTTCTACACACCACTTTCCTCTCACTTCCTCCTTCTGTAGTGTTTTCTTCTCTGGGCAGAGTTAATTGTCCTCTGTGTCTCCCTGGACACATGTGTGGACCTTTACTACAGTCATATCACATGGTACTGTTTGCTGTCTTCACTACCTATAAAGAGGGCCAGCCTTATAAACTAGGGGCTTGTAGCACCTAAATATCAAAAAAAAAAAAATTCACTTCATCTATAAAGTATTTTTGTAAACATTAGTTTTCTTCATTTCTGGAAGTACTTTAATGTGTGCTGGTGAGACCAAATTAGAACAAGCCAATATACTGTGGTGAAGTCCACTAAGAATGCAGTGTAGAGACTTTGGTAATACATTTAGTTGGGTTTTTTGTTTTGTTATTTTGTTTGAGACAAGATATCACTATGTAGCTCTGGTTGTCCTGGAACTTACTCTGCAGACCTGGCTAGCCTTGAATTCACAGAGATCTGCCTGCCTCTCTATCTCCCAAGTGCTAGGATTAAAGGTGTTAGTCACTATACTCAACTATGATCTTAAAACATATGCTATTTAAAATATATATATCTTGGTAACTATTAATATCAGATATCTTTCCAGGACAACAAGACTTGCTGTGGATTATGCTCACTGTTAATACCAAAGCTGATTGGCAGGGCAAGGCAGAAAGAGATTGGGCAAGAGAATGCTGGGAGAGAAGGGTGGAGTCAGGACAGTCACTGGCAAACACACATACCAACATCAAAATTAAAGTTTTGGGATATTTAGATTGAATAGTTCATATTTCATTTAAAGTGCTAATATTTGACGTGAAGAACAAAATTAAAAGAATGGTGTGTTTCTATGTTTAAAATATGCATCCTAAAGATAATATTGTGATGGGTTTTTATTTTTTGTTTTATTTCAGATTATTTCCTTCAGAAAGAACCCCAAATATGGGACTATGTGTTAATAGAGTTATGGACTCTCTTAAAGATTGACTCACTCCAACAAACTGTTTGCTGGAATTTGTTTCAGTTAACATTTGAGAGTACCCTTTTTAAATCTTACCAGTTTGAATACTATATTTTACTTAAATATTTACTAATATGATAGCCAACTGAAATGTTACAACTTGTGGATTTGCTATTGCAGAGCACCGGATAAAAATCAGGGCTTTTGAGTCAAACATGCATTGCATTTGGGTTTAAGTCAGGCTCTGCCATTTCCCAGCAAGGTTACATTGACAAACAATTCTTATGAGCTTCTCTTTATTCATTCATTACCTTATTTTAATGCCAATAGGAGCTCCTCTTTCAGCCTGAGCCTGGGGTTGTAGTAATCATTAAACAAGGCAGTCATGTGAAAGCACTTCACACTGTTCTGAACACATGACTAAGACCGAATGCTCCATTTTCAGTTGCAAAGTTCACCAGAGACTTTAGTTTGATTTGTGTGCTATTTAGAGACATTTTTACTCTCTTTTTTTCCTCTTTGTTGTACCCGTGGGAAGAGGGTCAGCAAGTATTCCTTTGGTTGTCTCCAAGAACCACATAAACCTGCTTGGTTACAAAGCATGCACCTGCTTCCCATCCTTGAGGAATTTGCAATCTAAAAACTTCTGGGATTAACCTGGACTCTCTGGGGTTTTTTTTAATTGTTTAGTGAGGTCTCTAATGGCCATGGTGGTAAGTTACTGAAGGGCAAGCTTGGTGAAAGTGCTGAGCAGAGTTCCTGGGAAAGCTACCGTCTCAGCAAAGGTAAGCCAAAGACCGGGAAGATAAATTACTTGTTCTTTAAACGTTAAATACACTAAATTTTACTTGTAATGAAAGTTCATTTACAAAGATATATTAAGTAAAGCATCTTAAAGTGGCAGGCTGGTAAGGTTTGTATCATTGCTGTCCTTACAGTCACTCCACTCCCAAGTGTTACTCTAAAGCCCAGCAGAAAATACCCAGGGCTGGCATCAGGGACATAACCCCACCAGGAGAAACTAGACAGACACTCTCTTGTCTAGTGAGTCTAACGAGACTATGGTCAGAGGGATAACTTTTTCCAAGTCTAGAATAATTTAGGTTTGGCTGCTCTCTGGGCCCTACTTCCAACTTTTTCTTAATCTGCCAAGCCAAAAAACCCGATCGCATTACAGGGTCATACCCATTGGCTTTTTGAAGGAACTTAAAACACTGCAAAATTGAAAGCAGCCAGCCTTTCTATTTAGTTAAAATCTGCATAAAATTAATGTCCCTTTGTTGCAAATGCTGGGCCTATTTCCCTCTTAACCCGGAGTCCTGATGCCTAGCACCCAACCGCACCGTGGAGCGGCGGCGCGGGTCGTCCCCCGCCCCTCCTGGGAACAGCTCCACCTCGGGGGCGCTGGAAACGCCCTCCGTGAGTTCCCTGGCACCAGCGGGAGTTTCAAGTTTCCACTCGCCGGGCGGGGGCAGGAGGCGGGCGCGCGGCTCCGCTTGGTTCACTGCGGGCTTCGGACTGGGGCTCCCGCCAGCCCGTAGTGTCCTCGTCCCTCGGGAAGCCTTCGCCAAGGCCCCGCAGCGTGTCCCCGGGCCGAGGCCCGTTCGTCTCCGCCGGTGGCGCCGAGGCCCCCCCGGGGGGGGCGGGAGCGGGAGAGACGCCCTCGCTGCGGCCGCGGCGTTGGCGCTCGGGCCCGGGCCTCGCCCGCCACTGGCGGGCCGCGGGAGGAGGGGGCGCGGGGCGGCCCCGCCCTCCCCCCCGAGGAGGCGCCGGGCGGCCATATTGCCGAGCTGTCTGCGGCGGCGGCGCGTCTCCTCTCAGGCGGCTCAGGACTCGCACCGCCGCCTCTCCGTTCGCTCGCTGCCAGCCGCGACGCCCCCGCCGAGCCGCGCCTCAGCCAGCCGGCTGCGGGCAGGGAAGGAGCCGCTCATTTTCGGGGTAAGCCCTGCCCGGCGCGCTCCCTGGCCCCCGGCCCGCTTGCCCGCTCTCCCCGCCGAGGCGCTGAGGTGGCGGCCAGAAGTTGCCGGGCTGTGGCGCGGCGGCCCGGGCCTGGCTGTGGCGCCTCAGAGACGGGTTCGCTCCTGGCCGCCCAAGAGGCGCCGCCGCGGTCGTTAACGGCTGAGCCAGGCCGCTTGCCCGGCGTCTTCTGCCGCTCCGCGCCTTCCGCCGTCGGCCTGGCCGCGCCGGGGCGTCGGGCGGTGCGGGTTCCCGCCGCTGCGTCCTGGGGCCCAGGCTCGGCCCGGCGCGCCCCCGAGGGCCGTGGCCAGCGTAGGTCGAAAGCTCGCTCGCAGCCCGGGGAGGGGAGGCACGGCTGGAACTTCTCCCCCGGCCTCCTGTTTGAAAGTCGGGGTGTTGGATTACTAGAGAGCCTGTGGACGCCTCAGCAGCGGGAGGGCTGTCGCGTTGCCGGGCTTGCAGCGTCGGCCGGCCGCTCCCGCCGCTCGATCCCGCGAGGCCAGGCCCGGACTCCCGGCCGGCCTCCCTTACCTGCTGCTGCCGTCCTCCCGGCCCCTGGCCTTGGCCCGGGCGGCGGAGTCGCTGCCTGGTGTAGTGTCAGCGGAGGACCCCACCCCACCAGCAAAGTTCGCATCCCTACCATTCCGTGCTCCCAAACTCCGTCTTTGAGCTAAGTTTGAAAGGGGGCAGTGCGTTTTTTCAGTTGAAACGGCACGTCTGTTCCTACACAGATGTTTGGTTAAAGGTTGCCAGGATTCTGGGTGGTGTTTCTTATCACCCTAAAAGTGGTTATTCGTTTGAAATGTGTTCTAAGAGGTCAACTTCATTAAAACACACACACACACACACACACACACACACACACACATATTAAAATACAGTTGAGATTTTGTAGGAGAGGTGCGAGTGCTAAGCCCGTTGGCTCTATGGAGGCACCAAGGTTTGCATGATGTAAGTGTAAAAGCCCAAGGTAATAAGGGTTTATGTGATTAAAGAATACTTGGACACTGCAATCTATTGTTGACCGAGCATCTTTGGTTTTTTTTTTTTTTTTTTTTTTTTTTTTTTTCACAGAAGCACAGAATAAACAATTGCCCTGTTCATTTTGCTGCATAAATAATGGCTTAATCTGCTTGCCAAAACATCATCACTGGATCTGGAGAGAGAGACTAATGTTTAGGGTTTAGGATTGCTTTTTTTTTTTTTTTTTTCCTAATCTTTAAAATTTCGTTGTTTGCACCAGTGTGCAGTTTACCTCTCATAATAATTTATTCAGATATGACAAAATGCAGGCTCCTTTTCAAGTTGTCAGTATGCTGTGAAAAGAGTTACACTGACTTTGCTTAAACCCCTCTGGATTTGGAATTTAATAAGCAGTTAATATTTAGAACGAATAATCACTCGGAGTTTTTAACTTTGTTTATATGAGGAGTTTGATTGTGATTCTTAACGAAAAGTTGCCCGGTGTTGGTTGTGTGTGCCTTTAATCCTAGCACTCTGGAGGCAGATGCAGGTGGATCTCTGTGAGTTCGAGGCCAGCCTGGTCTACAGAGCTAGTTCCAGGACAGCCTTCAAAGCAATACAGAGAAACCCTGTCTTGAAATAAAGAAAGAAATGTTAAGATGTTAAGCCCTTGCCTCCGTGGGTCATACATATTGTTTTGTTCATTCCTGTACCTTCACACAGGAGGGAATGTAGGAGGAGCTTGGAGATGTTTGTAGAATAGATTTAATAGACTTTGCTGTGGGAAAAACACGTTGAATCTCAGTTTTGTTGGAACTGATTACTCAGGTGGAAATGACATTGCTGCTTTTCTGTGTGATGGTTCAAAACAACAGGTTTTGCTCATTTTCCTGCTCAGTTGCTGTCAGTAAGCATAGGGATGAGAGATAGGAGCAAGAGCTGGTTTTTTTGCTTTTTGTTTTACCATTCCCAAGAGTGAAATTGGATTTTTATTAACCAGTTTTCAGACTCTGGCCAGTGGTTGGAAGACTTACAGATTTATTTTATTTTCATTTCTCAATCTTTTATTATAAAAATTATGTACAATCTAATATAGTAGATTCTAAAATGATGAGAGTCCTGGATTTTCATTCATTTTAAATATAATGCATTTTACCTTGAGCCATTTCAAAATGGAGTGGCAAATCTTTAACTTTTTCCCCAAAGACCAAAGCCTTGAAATGCTGTCTCCTTGAGGACTGAGCAGTGCTGGTGGAGCATATCTGTAGGGCATAGGTAAGAGTTTCCTGTGTTGGTGCTGTCTGGGAGAGGAAAGTCAATCTTTCTTGTAACTGCTGCAGTTTGGGAAGTAAGGAAGTTAGTCTTGGATGACTTGGGAACCCTGCAGATCAAGGCTGGTGGGCACTAATTTACCCTGTTGACGTCCAGGATATGTAGCTGGATTAAGTTGCTACTCTGAAAAGCTATTTTAAGTTTCTTGACCATAAGTGTCACCAGAATGTGTTCCGGGAAAGCCTGACTTACTTAAGTAGCTCATGGCATTGGAGGTAGAGGTAACTAGTCTGACCTCAGAGAGTTATCCAGTGTGTTTAAACTATCCCATCTTGCCTATTCATTGTTTCTGTATGCGTTTTAGTGTTTATAATGGATGTATATCTTGAATCATTTTTTAAAAAAACTATGAAGCTAATAATTATATAGTAAAGTTATAACACCCGGAAAGTCATTAAGCCATTGAGTAAAAAAACTGTCTTCTCAACCCAGAACTTGGCAATCCTATCACCAGCCTCATTTGTCATTGGTAATTTCCTTGTGTATAGAAAGTGGTAGCGCTTCTGTCTGTGGGTCTCAAGACTGTTAGCTGTAACAAACCCTGACATGGTGTTTATTACTTATATTAAACATCAAGTAATTGTGTTTTTCTAATTTTCATCATTTGAATGAAATTAGTGGAATTTGCTATACTGATTCTTAGAAGTGTTTGTGTAAGCACATGTGCAAATTTTCTTGGTTAATGATTAGTGGTGAGGTTTACTCTTTTTTTCTTCCTAAAGTATAGCATAAATTCACAGTAAAAGTTGGTGCACACAGAAACATGTACATATACATACAGGACATACACATAAGCACAAAATGTTGTCTTTTGAATCAGGTGTATGATTTGGAATAGCAACATTTATATAACATATGTATCTTTACCTGGAAACTGTTTTAGAGAAGAATAGTTGTCTGTGTGATCAATTTCTTCTAGTATCAGCTTTTCAGAAAAGGTGGAGGTTATATAGGGCTCCACACTGAATAACAATTATGTATAGCAGTCCTCACAAATTCATCAATTTAAAATAACTAGACTTTTTAAATTGTTTTTATTTCATGTATATTGTCATCCTTGCCTGAAGAATGCAAGTCCACATGAGGGTACCAGGTACCCTGGAATTGGAGTTACAGACAGTTGTGAGCTGCCATGTAGGAGCTGGGAACTGAACCCTTGTCCTCTGGAAGAGCAGCCAGTGCTTTCAACCACTGAGCCATCTCCTCTACCTCAGTTACTAGAATTTTGTTTGTTTTTTGTAATGTTTGTATTGAGACAGGGTCTCTAGCTCTGGCTGTCATGTAACTTCCTATGTAGACCAGGCTGGCCTGGAATTCAGAGATCTGCCTCTGACTCCAGAATGTTGAGTTTAAAGGTATATGCCACTATGCTTTGATAATAAACTAGTTTTGTTGAACAAGGTACTTGCTAAAAATTTGGGTATAAGTAAGCTTTGTCTTTCTCTATAGTTGACCTTTTAAGTATAATTGTAAATTACATGCATTTTTTGATGTATATAAACAAGGTCACTATAAATTTTATACATCTAGCCATGTGATAACCAAAAAATGCTGATTACGTTTCTTTGTGCTTTATATACATTGGAGATCATAAAGAAGTAAAATTAATTTACTTGGAAAGATTGTTTAGTAACTTTTGTTTTTTAGTCTGCCAGTTAAAATCTATAGACCAAATCCAGCTCAAATTTTTCTAAATAAAGTTTTGTTGCACCTTGTACTTGCCAATTGTTTACATGTTGTCTATTGCTACTTTTGATCCGTGATGGCAAACTATAGCTAATACAACCTAAAATAGTTACTCTTTGTCTTTTTGCAGAGGGAATTTTCTTCACTTACTTAAAAGAAAAACAAGAACAAAAAGCTCTACTCTATTGGAATGTTTTAAACTGGGCCTAGTAGTACAAATCTGTGATCCTAGCCGCCCTGAGATTAGGTAGGGGGTTGAAGTTTAAGGCCATCCTGGAAAACTTAGTGAGGTTCCCCCCCAAAAAAAAAGAATAAAAGGGCTGCAGATATATTTCACTAGTAGTGTACCTAATAGGATTCAATCCGCATTGGATGGGTGGGGATTGGGCTGTTCTTAGGTACAGTATCAAAGAAAGGAGTACCACATTATTTTTTCTAAGATAGTACAATTTATATATAGTTACCTCACTATCAATAATTAATACACTTTTTTTCTAAACTTTAATTCTTATTGCTCTCAGGACCTTAAATGCTTCCTTTCATTTACAAAAAGTTGAAATTAACTAAGACTTGCTGCAAGTGAATTTGCATCATTGAAGATGGACTGAGTAATAGAAACTTCTTAACTCTGGCCAAGGACCTTTCCCCCTTGGTTTAGACTAAGATTTTTTTTTTTTGTTATTGTTGGGGTTTTTTTTTTTTTTCGTTGTTTTTGTTTTTTAACTTTGGTTAGCTGCAGGGATGAGTTGAGTACATTATCTAGATACAAAGTATCCAAGAGAATAAGGGAGAGTTCTTTTCCAGAAGCCTCTCCCAAAATGTCATTCACTACTTCTTAGCCATGATAATGGCATGTACCATATCTCCCAACATTGGCACTGTTAATCAAATTGCTTTAATTCTGTTTCTAATATTTTCCTTAGTCATATACCAAATGCATTGAGTTCTTTCTTGTCCCCAAATGAAGACAGATACAAAGTGACCTGTCATACATTAATATA